GCAAAGCCCAACAGAGTTTTGAAGAATTAAAGAGGAAGCTCACTAAAACCTCTGTACTTGCACTTCCCAACTTTGACCTAATGTTTGAAGTAGATTGTGATGCTTATAATGTTGGAATTGGTGCAGTGTTGAGTCAAGAAGGTCGACACATTGCCTTCTTCAGTGAAAAGTTGAATGACATAAAGCTCAGATATTCCACTTATGACAAAGAATTCTATCCAATTGTTCGAGCCTTGGAGCATTGGAGTCATTATCTTCTTTCCAAAGAATTCATCTTGCACTCTGACCATGAGGCATTGAAGCACCTGAATTCCCAACAGAAGATCAGTCGCCGACATGCTGCTTGGAGTGAATTTCTACAAGCTTATCCTTTCCTCCTCAAATACAAATCTGGAGTCCAGAATCGTGTAGCTGATGCTTTGAGTCGCCAACATGCCTTGCTTACTTCCTTACAAATGAAAGTCACTGGATTTGAAGTGATCAAGGAGTTGTATGAGGATGATCATGATTTTAGCAACATTTGGCAAGCCACTCCTAATCAAGTCTTTCAGCAATATCATCGCCAGCAAGATTACCTCTTCAAGGGTAATCGACTATGTGTTCCACGTTGCTCACTCCGAGATTCAATTATCTAGGAAGCACATAATGGTGGATTAGTTGGTCATTTTGGGAGAGACAAGACTTTAGCTCTTGTTGAAGAAAGTTTTTACTGGCCAAAGTTGGAGCAGAATGTCATTCGTCACATTCAAAGATGCAAAGTTTGTCACCAAGTCAAGACAATCAATGAAAACACAGGGTTGTATCTACCATTGCCTATCCCAACTTCACCTTGGGAAGATGTTAGTATGGATTTTGTCCTTGGTCTACCACGAACTCAACAAAGCAAGGATTCTATCATGGTCGTGGTTGACAAATTTTCTAAAATGGCTCACTTTATTGCTTGTCAGAAAACTAATGATGCTTCTCTCATTACTGAGTTATATTTTAGAGAGATTGTGCATCTACATGGAGTTCCAAAGACCATCACTTCAAATAGAAATGTGAAGTTCATGAGTCATTTTTGGAGGACTTTATGGAGAAAGATGGGCACTCAACTCCAGTTTAGTTCTGCTAGCCATCCCCAAACCGATGGGCAAACTGAAGCTATCAATAGGATTTTGGGGAATCTACTACGAAGTTTTGTGGGAAAGAATTTGCGACAATGGGATCTTCTGCTTGCCCAAGCTGAGTTTGCCTACAACAACTCTTCGAATCAAGCTACGGGAAAATGCCCATTTGAAGTAGTATATGGAGTGCGTCCTCTCAATCCTTTAGATCTTGCTCCATTGCCCACAACCCGACCATTTAGTGCAGATGCTGAACAACGAGCCAAGGAGATCAAGAAACTTCATGAAGAAGTTCGTGAGAAGCTACAACGTCAAACCATTAGGTATGAGGCCCATCATGACAAGCACCGAAAGAAGGTTGTGTATAAAGAAGGAGATTGGGTTTGGATACACCTT